TCAAAAAAACTTTTTCCCTTCAATGTTCAGTCATCTCGATTTTTGACTGAAGATTTTCATTCATATTCAATCATTTTCGTTCAAATTCATAATGAATTATTCATTTCATTTCACTTCATCTGACTTCATTTCTTACTTCGCCCCATGTATTAAGAATAGGGTGGAAAATGAATGGAGTGAAAAATCCTATCATTCACAATCACTCATGTGAAATGACTGAATCTTTCATTCATTTTCATTCAAATCACAGGATATTCATATTCCTTCACGATCATTCTCTATCATAATCAGTCACATGAATGAAAGTGAACAGGTATGATTATTAGTATGATGCTAATTAAAAATCCCCATGTCCATTATTGAACATCTTGGTCGCACGCCGATGGTTTTAGCGGCGCTGGCGCGCTGGTCAACCTTTTATCTTCGGTGGCGTCTACTGAATAACTAGACATTCTCGGGAATATTAACGTGTTTAAGCATGTAAGTTGGAATCTTAGTATTTGCATTCCTTAAACCCAGCTAAATTGCTGTTATAACGGTGAAATTGCGTATATTTATTCGAACAGGGTAAATTTAAGGCAAAATTTGAACCAAGGTGTTCGTTTAGCCTTTCCAAAATCGATAGGATGCCGAGTGATTAAAATTAACTATATGCTTAAACGGTTCATATATTTATGTAGTAGTTATCGATTTCTGGAAACGTATATAACTTGATGACTTATATAACTTGATGATAACTTATATAGGTCTTACACTCTAACAGACACGGTAACTAAGTTATTACCAGGCGGAGTATCTATGTGACTCTACCATATGGTAATTTATTTATTATTGAGTGGTAGATATTTTATTAATAAACCGGTAACAAACCCTGTCGCGAAATTTGAAAATATTTCCAGTTTGTTACTAATTTTTTACCACTCAATAATAAATAAATTGCCATATGGTAGAGTCACCTAGATACTCCGCCTGGTAGTAACTTAGTTACCGGGTTTCTTAGAGTTTATGTATGATTGAAGTAGGTAGAAAATATATAAAGAATTCATCCTTGTGTCCGGGCACTCTTTAAAAATTTAAAGTATGCTGATCTCATTTTGAATGTTAAAAAGTGCTCAGTTGTATATTTCGATTCGATACAATCCCATGTACTAAAGGTAGAGCATTGCGAATAAAATTATTTGGTTTTAAACCACGTAGCACTGGAGTGTATGTATTTATGCCTTTATTATTTCTCCATATATAAATTATCTAGATATGATTTAATCTCCGCTGACCAATGAATATTTTAAATCGCAAGCATTTAGTTTTGTTCAAATCATTATTAAGAATTCTTCCTTCTGCCTTAAAGTGCTGGTCATAGGACAACCAGACAGCTTAAAATTTTTAAAACCATATCTTAGGATTCCACATTTCGCTGAGCTTATTTTCAAGCCATTTATTGGGGGCATTCATTACGAGTTCGCATACTTACAATGCGATGGTGTGAAGTGTAACTCTCCGATTTGGTTGAAATATCGAAATTATGAGGTCCATGCCAATACAAACAACGTTTCTTGAGGCAGTTCGTGCGATGGTCAGAATTTGGCAAAATATTTTAGGAACAAGTTGAAAAACGGGCGATTTTTATTAAGCGGAGGACGCAAACTCAACTCCAATTCTCTACCCGTGCTAAAAATCCCATATTTTCAACTTTGACATCAAATATTTTGGAAAAATCTGAATGTCGCACAAACTGGCTCAAGAAACGTTGGTTGTATGGACATGGACCACATAATTTCGAAATTTCAGCCAAATCCGCGGGTTACACTTTACACCATCGCATTGTTAGTTAACACCTTAGCAGCAAAAAAAGTTGATACCGTTCGCAAATTTTTTTGGTTTGAAATATAATTTACGAACTTTTCAGTTCATACGGCAGCTTTAAGTTCGCAAAATAAATATTTTCCTAAAAACTTCCATTAAAAAGATAAACTACTTTGTGCCGTATCCTTAAGGTTAAAAAAATAACAATTAAAAAAAATATGGAGGCCACTCCCGATTCTGAAGGTTCCCTCGTGTCAAATCTAATGTGGCAACTTCTACACGTTTATTGTTACTTGTACAAAATAATATCACCGCTACCGTTTGATTTTAACTTGAGCAAGAAAAACCTCACCGTGATAAAGGGCACCTCCAAAGGACGCTTTCTTTCCGCATCCTCTTCCTTATGGATGTTTGTTCACACGGTGGCATGCGGATTTTCTCTGGGCTTCAAACTTCTCCTCAAATCATCCCGGATACCAAAAATAAAAACGGAAAGCGATACTATTGAAAAACTGTGCATATTCGTGGACATATATTTCATCATACTTCCGCTGTGTATGACCGGGATGAGTATTACGATAGCGTTTTATCAGCAAGTCGCACCAAATATTTTGAATAGAATTGTCGAGTTTGAGGGGAAACTTGAAGGTAAAAACATATTTTCTCGCCAGAGACTTTATGGTGGGTTCTTTATGTATTCCCCAGATATTAATAATCTGGTAACAATGAAATTACCACACTCAAAACAAAAATTTGTCAAACCAACATCGCCATCGTCGTCAATATATGACTTAACCGCCCTGGTTACAATTGTGATTCCGAGTGGTAGTGAAATTTTTCCGTCCAGTCATCTATATTATAAGCTGGAAATGTTTATCTGCAACGGAAGTGTTTTTCTGAAACGGAAGTGAAAGTGGAGAAAGTTAAGTTTCGAATGGCCCGAAACAGACATTTCCAGCTAATTATGTAGTCCACATAATTAATTTTTTATGGTATTCACATTACATAATGTGGGATTATGAATAATCCCACTCAAATTTCATGATAATCAAATAAACTCTCGCCCCGCGGGAGACGGGCTTATACACTAGTAACATTATAACCACTGGTATCAAAATCATCATAACTCGGATTCAACATTTTAACCGAGGCGGTTAAGTCATACATTGACACCGGCGGTGTTGATTTGACAAATTTTTGTTTTAAGCGTATGTACTTAATAAATAAATAAAATGTTGTATCTAGGACTCTGGCACAACATTCCTAGGAAACGATCCCCACCCTGGATGTTGCTCCTCTTAAAATTTTTCTTAAAGGGACCACTCATCCTGCTCATAATTTTGATAGGACCTGGACTAGTTTTACTATATTTGCACCCCCTCAATAATTATTTTACATCTAAATCCTTGATCTGGAATTTAATTCTGCAAATCATCACCTTTTTCTTGGCCTACGTCTTATCTGGCGAAGTGGTAAAATCCGCTGTCGCCTTTCTCCTCGTGGGACTCATCGTTATGCAAAGTATTTCCCAAGGAGCCTCCTTATTGCGGGAAATACTTAAATTCAAAAGCCGAAACCGAGGGGCCCTTTTCCCCGGGGAAATTCGGCTTTACCGCGAATTCCAAGTGTGGAATCAATACATCAACGCCGCATTTTGTTACAGATCCGTACCACCTCTCCTATTTTGTGGAGTTTGCATAATAGTTTGTTCAATTTATGGGACAATAAGGATGTACGTATCACTTCCAATTTTTGTGTATGCACTACTTCCCTTAACGGCCGGGGTTGCGTTAGCATTTCAATTTGCACTTCTTCCCCAAGCGGCGAAGGGGTATGAAAAGTCGCGTGAGTTTGTGGCCTTTGCGAGAAAGCAGTGTACCGTGAAATGGGAGAGGAAGGTGGCCAAATCGTTTCGACCGATTGGAGCGAGGTGTGGGCCGTTCGGCATGATTTCGAATAAATGGACGGTGCGGGTGGGGAATGCGGTGACGGATTCGACGGTTACGTTATTGCTGACGATTTAGTGTATATGCGTTGTCGAGATGTGAGGGAATATAAAAAAATTTTCCCAATTCTAACCACAGATTTGGGTCGAATTATAAAAAAATATCAAATTCCATTATCATTTTTTTGCCATGATGCGCGAGGAAGACTTTTGTCGTTCGAAATTTTGGTGCCATGGTGCGGAGGGAAGACAATTGTCGTTATGGAGGATGATTTGTATAAGGCATGCATGCACTGCATCTACAATTTAGTGGGATACTGTATGTACATTATTCTAATAGGTAGTTTGCCACCAAAATCCTAATTCAAAAATAACTTTAAGAGACAGGTATCCATGAAGGGTACTTTTAAAATATTTGGAGGGTACTTCCTATTTAATTGGAGAGGCTTTAAATGCATGCCTTATCACATTACCTTGACCTTACGCGGGAGGGTGACAATTGCCATCGTTTAAAATATATGCAGCTTTCCGGAGTTGGCGGTGTGACGGTAGTGTAAAATATTAAATTGTGACATTTTTGTAAAAAAATTGTAATGGTTTATTATTCGGGAGAAGCACTTACATAAATAATTCAATTTCCAATTTTTATAAACATGTAATTATCCACCAGCTTGTAAATAATTTAGAAATTAACCAAGAAGAGTCGCTAATAATAAAAATTCAACCATAATTAAATATGCAGATAAGTGTGTGCAGAAGTTAGTCGCCAAACGTATCTACATAAATGCTGAAATATGTATATTACAAAATCTAACCAAGTATCAGTTTAAAGCAATTCTTCATACTGTTCATCCAGTATTATTAGTCGCAATTTTTTGGAAAATTTTCTGAGAGGTTATTTGGTTGCTAATTGAAAAATAAATAATCTGCCAGGTAACCTTCCAGAATTTTTTGCGACTAATAATATTGGATGAACAGTAGTTTTCATCGCTAATGAATATTTTTTTTTAATTTTTTTTAAAATTACACACGGAAAATAACGTGATGAAACTAAATACAGTTAAAAAATTTGATGAGAAGACTTATTCCAAAATCCTTTAATCATATCTAAATCCGTCGTCAAGTAGCATTGAACTTAAAACAAAAGCTTATCAGTTTGTGGATGGTAGTTTCCTGCCAAAATATCACTCTACATGATAACACTTTATGCTTAAGGTAGATAAGCTCAAATAATTGCAGTTTAGTGGAGGCTCATACCTTATCAAGGCAGCATTCCTCTAAAAACTCAAGTCCTTCAACCACACCTTAAAAATGGGTTATTTGCCGTTTTTCAAAAAAATTAGGAAATGCAAAGTAACTAAATATATCATTCATTTATACATAATTAGACGATTTTACTACATTTAACTCATTTAAGCATAAAAATTATCTGCAAAAAAAAGTTGGATTCAGCTAATCATGATTTTTTTGGTATATTTAAAATATGCATAAGATTCCATAATATGATTTGGTCCACATTTCCAGATTTGTTGGACTTATAACGCTAGACCCGACAATTTGGCAAGACATGAAAGATCGAGCCATGCCAAAAAAATCTACATTTGCAATATCTGCAGTAGAAAGTATTTTTTCTAACATACACATTTCAATCCATAATTTTTGCAAATATTTTATTTACCGCAGATTATCCAGATCTGATGCAGCCTCACGACATTTGAAAAGATGTCATCCTGAAATCATTTTCGAGAACGGAAAACAATACATCGAATATTTTGAAATTAAATACACTCTCGATAAAATTTAGATAATATTCTGAAGAAAAATTACAAAAGTTAATAGTTTTTTTAGTGTGTAACTTTTCCATGTTAATTTCCTACATTTAATTCTATCCAATAACAAGATTTGTGTTTTCTTTTCAAATAAATACATTTCGAAAAGTATAAATAAATATAAACTTAATTATTTATCGTTTAAAGTAGATAATTCGTACATAAAATTATAAAAAATTAAAATAAAGGACTAGCTAAAAAAATTATTCGTATTTATTCTCCCACAAATAATTCTAAACTAAAGTATAACCGAGAATATCTCGACTTCTTTCGAACTTATGTAACAAAGGTCAAACAATTAGACAAAAGGTTAACGATCTCACAACCATATTACGTACATATGTACATACAACGCAAAAAAAGTAATTCACTAATATAATGGACGATCGCGTCATGGGAGAATGAATTTGCACAATTTATCACGCAGAATGAAGATGGCTGATTGGGGAGCAACCAGTTGTATTGTAGGAGGTGACTGCTTAACACATCTGAAAGGGGAAGGGCGTAGCGTTAAACAATAAATACGTGCATAAATATTCTCTAACTGGAAATTGTATCAAATCCCATAAAAAACTATTCCCTTGTTTTTAAATAATTTCACTTTCACAAATATAAATTACATTCTTAGAAATGGGGTTACGATTATAACCAAAAAGAAAACGTATTTGTACACGACTTTACCGCCGTGGGTATGAATTTGTCACCACCTGGTTATAAATTTATTAGCTCTGGCGACAATTTAACACCAAATCGGTGAAACTTTATTATTAGTCGGTGACAATTGTAACCACTCTATGACAAATTTATAACCACGGCGGTAGAGTCACACACGTTTACTTTTTGGTTATAATCGTAACCCCATTTCTAAGAGTGTAGTCTGTGCCTGCAATTAATATACACTTAAAAAAATTGACGTCGTGTCAAAATTGTAATTTTTGCATATTTATATAAACTGGATTAAAATCTGAGACGGAGTTTGGACCCACTTAACAGATTTTCATCACAAAAGTTTGAAATGTCCGGCAGTCTTTTCAAATTCTAACTTATTTCAAAGTACTGCTCAAATTCGAATAGATTTTAATTTAGGAGAATGCTATTTAGCTGGTCAAACTTCCAACTCCTCGTCCCAACTGGCGATAAATTTTAATTATATCTGTTAATCACGAATTTTTCTACAAGGTCAGATACTGAATCAGCGTGGGAACGCAATTTTGTTCGTGTCCCAAGCATGCATTTTTATTAGGGTTGATAACGTTCCGTAAAACAATAGTCAGGAGATAATAAAGTATGCGAGACAAAAGTTAATTATTTTAATTACGGAGATATGTATCATCAATTGATTAAGTTATCATTAAACGAATTAGATCCGTAATCAGCCCAACAAATTCATACATAGAGTACCCTGCAATCTTGATGACGGACTTGTATGAAATATGTACATATGGGTGTACAAAATTAAGAAAGATTTTGAAAATTATTTTTAAAAAATTTTCAAACAATTTTCAAACTGAACTATGTATATCGGAGGAATATAGTGCAAAAATGTTTTATCACATCTGGCAAAATGTGATGCATATAAAAAATTAAGTGAAGCGTCATAACCTTCTCCCTTTCATATCCTGGGTGGCTGAAACAAGCTTCAAAAAACGCTACAAGTTTTTAAATGGAAATTTATTTATTTAAATAAGTTTAATATAAATATTGCATGAAATAATGTAAATTCTTCGTGTTGTATATTTTATGACTTCTTTCGAGCTTAATCAAGGTCAATCAATTATACAAAAGGTCAACGATATCTAACATATCACAATCACTAAACGACGTAAAAAAGTATTTGACTAATATGCATAATGGACGTTAGCTTATACGTTTACATACATACATACGTCATGGGAGAATGAACTTGCACAATTTATCGCGCAAAATCAAGATGGTTGATTGGGGAGCAACCAGTGGTAAGTGATGGCTGCTTGCCACGTCTGAAAAGGGGAAGGGCGTGGCTCTATTGTACATACAATTTTACGAGGCTATTTTGTAATTGAAAATTGTATCCAATCCCATAACAAATATTCTCTTGTTTATAAATAATTTCACCCCTTACAAACATAAAATATTCAAATTTGCGTATAATTATTCCCTAATAAAAAAATGACATCGTGTCAAAATTGTGGTTTTCCTATATAGAAATCTAACAAAATGGATCAAAATCTAAGCAGAAGTTTAGACGTCTTAGGTTTTTACCATAAAATTATGAAATGTCTGCTCAAAACTTTTTTTTTGAATTATGTTAAAATATAAAACTTTGAAATAGTATAATTCAGGAGAAAGGTATTTATGTGTTCGAAATACATCTCTCCCAGTGAATAATCTCAAATAGCGATTAAAATTAAACGAAATCTGTTAATAATAAATTTTTGTACAAGGACAGATATTGGATGTAATGTTGACAGTGTGGGAATGCATTTCCCAATCATATATTGGTTGATAACGTTAAATAGAACAATAGTCAGGAAATAAATTTACATAATTCCTGCATGTAAAAGCATGCGAGAGACAAAAGACTAATCACTTTAATTACGGGTATGTCATCAATTGATTGAGTTATCATTGAAAATAATTGAATCAGATCTGTATGCAATCAGCTCACATACATAACTAATAAATAATTCTTGATAACGAATTTATTACATGGTACATATGTATACAAATTTCAAGATACATTTTGAAGATTTCGTCCAAAATTTATTGTCAAAGTAAATTGTCTGCACATAATATGTACATAACTCTATTAAATTATCTAGTAAAGATTTGTACTTGTAAAAAATATAGGTAAATTAAGAAGGGTTAAAGTTTTTCTCTTATTTTCGATCAAATTTGAAATGTAAATGTTTATTTAAACCTTGGGTAACTTTTACTTATTTTTATTTAGACTGCAATAATTTGATAAAAGGACTTAATATATTTAAAATGTGTTATTTGCCAAAATTAGAGATAAATCCTTCATTTGGGAGGACTGAACTTTACCTTGTTAAAACAAAAGCTTATCAGTTATCAGATTATCTCCACGGGATGATAACTGCAAAAAATCATGCAGTAAATATTTTTTGCATGTATAGTTTGTAACGTTGCTGATTTTGCATGCAAAAGTCTACGACTAACTTCATAATAATTAAAACGCATAAATGCAGCTTATCCGTAAACATTCCACCAAACAAGTATAGAATTCTGCAAGTCATGATGACGAATTCGTATACATAACATTTTATAAATATTTGGGAGCAATATAATAATAAAGAAATATTTTTAAAATGTTATTCAAAATTTATTTTCAAAATTGTAAACTAGATCGTAAATGATAACCTTAGTCTGTTCATTTCATGGATGGCGAAAACTTCTCAAATTACGAAAACATTACAGGTTTTAATATTTAAAACTAAATATTTACATAGATATTTGGCCAGACAAGTTTAACATAAATATGTAAATATTGCATGAAAGAATGTAAACCTATGCTGAGCATTTTGTAATACTTTGCATGTTTTCTAAGCATAAATAATTAACTTAACTAATTAATTTCAGCAGACTACATATGTTAATTACTTTAAATTGTAATACTTTATATGGTCTATTTTGCAGCGAACTATTGGGATTGTGCTCGTTGGGGAAATTCTTCACGAGTGATAAAATTGCTGTTTTTTTTACTCCAGATATGTAAGTTGTCACAATTTTAGCGGAGTGACATCAGACCCGAAGATTACAGTGTCGGACAGATGTCTACGTCCACATAGTCGCGTCAATTTCATTTTCAAATTGTCACTGAACTACTGAACCAATTTTCATCATTGATATATCAAATTCTCACAAATTTAACGTAATTTCATAAAACATATGAGTTATTTCTGAAAATTCTGGGAAAACTGAGAATCATAGTGCAGAGCGAGAGAGGATGAAATTTGAGCGGACAAAAGTCTACGTCCACTTCACTTTAATTGTCAACAACAAAAATCTCTCCAATTTATAAAATCAGGTAACTTAATAAATCTATCAATAACATATGCCGCATTAATTTTTAAATAATTTTCTTCCAGAAAAATATGATGGCGTCGACACGCAAGGAAATTCCTATCGCTATTCGAGATCTTGTCATTCAGGACTGGAAGGGTGGACAAAAAGGGGGGCTGTCGCAGAGACAAATAGGGACCAAGTATAAATTAGCAAGGACAACCATCCAGACAATCATTAAGAACTTTAGAGCTAATGGTTCAGTCCAAAACAAGGTCAGAAGTGGTCGAAAACCGATTTTGGCTCACCGAGAAGTACGCCACGTGCTCAACAAAGTCAACGTTACACCCTCACTTAGTGCTCCAAAGCTATCTACCGAGATCAAGGAGATGTTCGGCAAACAGGTTAGTCCTATGACCATCCAAAGAACACTGAATAAGGGAAATTTGAAATCCCACAGAGCAGTCCGGAAGCCTCTTATTGTACCGAGGAATGCAACCAAACGAGTGAAGTTTGCCAGAGACCACATTTCCAAGCCACAAACATTCTGGGACATATTTTATGGACTGACGAGTCAAAGTTCAATGTCTTTGGGTCAGATGGGCGTCGTAGAGTGTGGAGATATCCAAAAGAAGCTTTGAATCCAAAAAATCTCAACCCCACAGTTAAGCACGGCGGCGGGTCGGTAATGGTGTGGGGATGCATGGCTTCAAGTGGGGCAGGAAAAATGGAATTTGTTGACGGAATTATGGACCAATACAAGTACCAGGGAATACTTGACCGTAATATCCAGGAATCTGTTCGAAAACTTGGACTTGGACGACGATTTGCCTTCCAACAAGACAACGATCCGAAACACTCTGCCACGTCCACCATGGAATACTTCAAGAAAAAAAAATTCCGAAGCTAGAATGGCCTCCCCAATCTCCAGACTTGAATCCCATTGAGCATCTGTGGGACCACATTGAAAGAGAAATAAGAAAAAAATCTTTTTCAGGAATTCCGGGCCTAAAATCCAGAATTCGTGAAGTTTGGGAAACCATTTCTGAAGATGTGACCAAGAATTTGGTAAACTCTATGACTCGACGCCTTGAAGCCGTCCTTAAAGCGAACGGAGGCCCAACCAAATATTAAAAATTAATTGTTATAACATTCCTTATAAATTACAGTTTTTTTTGTATGTTTTCTCTGACTGGACGTTGATTTTTGTCCATCCAATTGTTTTCATTTTGAATTAAAATACATCTCTGGCCTAAAATAAATTTTTTAGCGGAAAACTAATAATGTGCTATGAAATTACGTTAAATTTGTGAGAATTTGATATATCAATGATGAAAATTGGTTCAGTAGTTCAGTGACAATTTGAAAATGAAATTGACGCGACTATGTGGACGTAGACATCTGTCCGACACTGTACACTTTGTGGGAAGTGATCTCAATGTGCACCATGTTAAATAAGTAATTAAGGGCACAAAAAACATGGGGGCCACTTATACTACATAATCTCAAGCATGACTCAATATTCCAAAATTAACTTTTCACTACATATTCATCATGTACATATTTGTGCACATATGTGTATGGATTCTTCACACATTTAATTTGTCACTCTATATATTCAATACATGTGGTGAATTAAGAAATGAGCTCGAATGAGGTGAAATGAAATGAGTATGAAAGAAAATGAATGAAAACCGTCACTGAAAAATCATGATGCATGACTTTGGAATGAAAATTATTTATTTGAACAGGTATGACGGAAATTAGGTCAGATTACCAGATTAGTATTAAATTCTGCATGAAATCATACAATGCAAGGGCTCGACTGGTGTCACGTGTTTGCACTATACTTTGATTAAGTTTCAAAATTATGAACAAATTTATTAACAAATGAAGTACATAAAATGAAATGAAAAGTTGGCTTTGCAAGTATCTAGTTTGTTTAATTTTTTTAAATTGAATGATTCGTTTGCACGCATTTGTATGAAGGTAGGTCTGGCCAATAGATTTAATTAATGAAGTGGAATTTTATTTTAAAAACACAAATTGTGTTTGAATCAAAATTTTCGAAAAAATTACAGGAAATATGTAGAATTTGTCTTAATTTTGTTACAAATAATTTATACAAATATTACTGGCAAATATTTTGTCCTTTTTTCTCCTCATAGGCGTCTACAATGCAGGGGGCACAGAACAGATTTCCGCTACACTCTCCTGAAGAGAAGGGATTCCAATCAACCGAACACAGCTCACCCGCCCCCTTTCCTAAAAAAATGAATAAAAAAACAAATAAAATAAAAATTCCAAAATGAATTAAATTTATTAACGCAAAAATTATTATATTTTAAAAAAAACACATTTTTTACTCACCAGCCCTGACCATTCCGAATCAGAGGTCGACGCCGCCGATCTCACGCCGCCGCGCCGCCATACGCCGATGCATTTTACGCGCCGCCGCCGCCGAAAAATTTGATTTCCTATTCCTTTAACATTGCGACGCCGCGCCGCGCCGCCGACGCCGCCGAAAAATCACCAAAAACTGGCGCCGCCGCCGCCGAAGATTTGTCGGCGTCGACCTCTGTTCCGAATAAGGCCAACAAGGGGAAGAAAAACCACGTCAATTTCATGTTGAAGGTTTGGAGAAAGGTTTTCAAAGAGTTTCCTAAAGATATATGTTCCTTCGTCAAAGGGAAAAACTGGAGTGGTCCATGGCGACAGAGTGGGGTGATTTGTATACTCACATCCTGGGACATGGACCCTTCTAAGACCTACAGATTTACATACCCAACTACTTATGTATACGAGTGATAATGAGAAAAGGAATGGTGAAAGGTTCTTGGAAAGGTGAAATTTTGTTGAACTTTTAACCTTTTTCATGGCCACTTGCACAACAAAGTAAAAAATTTATGGTCTAAAAATTTTGCATTTTATGTATGATGAAGAGGGTAAAGAATTAAGGCATAAAGACAGGAAAGTTTCCTGAATTTCCAGAAATCGTAGTCAACTTTCTAAATATGTATAAACGTATGTCCTTAATCGTTTACCCTGTCCATCCTAAAAGGCAAAATATTTATCTGTGCAACTGATAATGGGGGAAAGAATGTTGAAACGTGGAAGTTCTTGGAAAGCAGAGTTGTGTTGACCTTTTTGAACTTTTACAAGGGCACTTAAAACATTTATGTAGGTTAAATATTTTGCATTTTATGATGGAAAAATTATTTACTCGCATCGTGGGACATCAACCCTTTTAAGACCTATAGTATGTAACATAAGTATAGCTACGATTTTTTTTTCTCAAATTTAAATTCAATTTTCTCCAGAACAGGTACACATATCTTTCGAAATTATTCTGAAATAATTTCATAATAATTTAAGAATATAAGAATTTTATTAAAATTCTTAAAGCTACAAATAATTGAATGTCAAAAAATTGTGAATTTGACGTTACATAAGTATCCTAACGTTGTAAGTTTGCCACTTTTGTTGGGTTTAGAGTATCATTTCGTACCGAAAAATAATTTTCTGGTAATTTCTACTAAAAATAAAAATAATTTGCCGCCTTAAAAAAATAACCGACAAATAAACCCATCCTTAATATTGGAGAAAGGAAAAAGTGATTTGCCCATATATATAACGCATATCTTTAGGCAAGGAATGTTGATAAGTTCCTGAAAAGGTGAGATTTTGTTAAGCTTTTAACCTTTTTCATGGCCAATTGCACCACACAGTCAAAAATTTAGGGTTTAAAAATTTTGCATTTTATGTATGATGGAGAGGGTAAACAATTAAGGCATAAAGGCAGGAATTTTGACTTCAATTCCTGAAAATTCAGGAAACGCTTTGGTTATTTTTTGTTCAGGAAAAGTTTTCTGAATTTCCAGAAATCGTAGTCAACTTTCTAGATATGTATAAACATATGCCCTTAATCGTTTACCCCTTCCATCGTAAAAGGCAAAATTTTTAACCCAAGCAGATGTTTTATGTGCCCTTGTAAAAGTTCAAAAGTTCAAAGTCCAGGATTCTTACCTATACCAAAATCTGCACAAAATACGACTTATGCAACAAACTGAACGAATTTCCGTGTAAAATGTACTTTCCGTCACGTTGTGACGATATTTAGGAAAATTTGAATAAAATTTAAATAATTTGTAAAATTGTCAAATTCATAGGGTCGAAAGGCGACGGCCCTGGACGTGCAGGTGGAATATATATTCTCTGTAGAGAACTTCAAACTTCCTTCTCAACTATTTACTTTGGGTTTTAAAAATTTAAAACAATTTGCGAAAAATTTGGAATGCTTTTTACGTATATATGCCGTGCTCACTTTTTGAATTTGATTGAATTATATATATAATTTGTTTGAAATTTTACACATTTTTAAAATTTTACGCAAATTTTTGCATAGTATATTGTCCCATGGGCCACAGAAATATATACTCATCGTGGGTCACGGACCCTTTTCAGACCGACATATTTACATATCTGTGCAACTGATAATGGGGGAAAGCATGTTGAAACGCGGAAGTTTCTGGAAAGGAGAGTTGTGTTGAACCCTTGAACTTTTACAAGGGCACAAAAACATTTATGTAAGTTAAATATTTTACATATTAGGATGAAAAGGGTAAAAGATTAAGGCATAAAGACAGGAAAGGTGGCTACGATTTTCAGGAAACTTTTTTGTTAGTTATGTACATATATTAACACGCAATAATATGCATTCTTAGTGCAAGTGTATAAATAACAGAAACGTTTCCTGAATTTTCAGAAATTGAAGCCAACTTTATGCCCTAATCCTTGACCATTTCCATCATAAAACGCAAAATATTTACACCATAATTGTTTTTACCACAGTGTTATGCACGTGGCCATGAAAAAGGTCAAAAGCTTAATAAAATTTAACATTTCCAAGAACGCATCAACATTCCTTCCCTTATAAGTCGGTTAGTGGGGTATGCAAATATCTCGGTCTGTAGGTCTCCAAAGGGTTCATGTCCCAGGATGCGAGTATAAAAGTAATCCCACTCTGTGACTCCGGACCATTCCAGTTTTTCCCTTTGACGAAGGAGCATATCTTGTGAAAACTCTTTGAAAACTACTTTTCACCAAACCTTCAACATGAAATTTACGTGGTTTTTCTTCGCCTTGTTGGCCTTATTCGGCATGGTCAAGGCTGGTGAGTAAAAAACGTGCTTTTTAAAAAATATATGCATTTTGACGTTAATAAATTTAATTTATTTTGGCGTTAGTGAATTTAATTTATTTTAGAATTTTTATTTTATTTTATTTGTTTTTTTATTCATTTTTTAAGGAAAGGGGGCTGGTGAGCTGTGTTCGGTTGATTGGAATCCTTTCTCTTCAGGAGAGTGTAGCGGAAATCTGTTTTGTGCCCCCTGCCTTGTCGACGCCTGCGAGGAGAAAAAAGGACAAAATATTTGCCAGTAATATTTGTATTAAATATTTGTAACTAAATTAAGACAAATTATACATATTTATTTATTGTAATTTTTCGAAAAGTTTGATTCAAATACAAGTTGTGTTTTTTACTAAAATTCCACTCCATTAATTAAATATATTTGAGACCTTCATTCATACAAATGCAGATAAAAGAATCATTCAATTAAAGAAATTGAACCAACTAAATATTTACAAAGCCAACTTTTCATTTTATTTTAATTCAGTTGCCCATGGATTATATGATTTCATGCAAAATTTAATACTAGTCTAGTGATCTGACCTTATTTCCGTCATACCTGTTCAAATAAAAAAAATCAGGCAAGAATCATTCATCATGATTTTCAGTGACGGTTTTCACTCATATTCATTTAGTTTCTTTCATATTCGTTACATTACACATCATTGGAGCTTCTTTCTTAATTCACTACATGTATTATATTAAGCATAGGATGATAAATGAAGGGAGTGAAGAATCCAGATGCATATGTGCACAAATACATGCATGAAGTGAAAAGTTCATTTTGAAATCTTGAGTCATCTTTGAGATTATGTAGTATAAGTGGCATCCATGTTTAGTGTGCACTTAATTATTTATTTAAAATCATACCTGTTCACATTCATTCATTTGAGTGATTATGATGGTGAGTGATAGTGAATGAAAATAAATTTCTTTTGATTTGAGTGAAAATGATTGAAATATTCCGTCATTTCAGATGAATGACTGTGAATGAAAGGATTTCTCACTCATTTCATTTTTCATCCTATGCTTCATACAATCATGAAATGAATTTGAACAAAAATGACTGATTGTGAATGAAAATCATCAATCAGAAATCGGGATGACTGACTTTTGAGTGAAAACCAAATTTTTGAAAAGGTATATATGTTTAAAATAGTGACATTGGTGTCATTTCCCACAAAGTGCAATCTTCAGGCTTGATTTAACTACATACGTTAAAATCTTTCATTTACAAAGTCTTCATTGCTTCGCAACGTTCGCAATTTGGGAAAAATTATGTTGTGATGGGAACATTCAAAGTCGTAATGAATTAACAAAATTCGGCAAAGAAAAATAAAGCTGTAGAAAAATATGTAAGCAAATAAAAGCGATTTTAATATGCACGATTTATAAAATTACAAAGCATGTTTAAGCCTGTTGAACTCACTTTTACTAATTTTAGCATGTCAACATTGTGGGAAATGGTGGTCTTATCAATAAATTGATTAGTCTTCAAGTGACGCAAAGTCCAAATTGATATGTAGTTTATGCAAATCACAATTATATAATAATGTGTCACCACCACCCTGTTGGTTATGAAATCGTAACATGTCTACATATGTAATTGGGGGGCTTCACGTCAAATAAAATTGCACGTTGATTGATGGGTAAATTTGCATATTTGGGGTCCGGAATATATATCGAGTATAAAAGGGAGATAAGTTCAATAAATTTACACAGTTTGGAGACAGGTGGATAAGTTAATTGTTAAGCCCCAACTACATATTTGGGTTCTGAATTTGAGTTTTTCCGTCTCACCTTTGCCTTTTTCCATTTAATAAAATTGGCGATTTTTTAGCCTACACTCTAAGAAACCCGATAAATAAGTTATTACCAGTCGGAGTATCTATGTGGCTCTACCACATGGTAATCAATTTATTATTGCGTGGAAGATATTTTGTTACTAAACCGGTAATAACCCAGGTCGCGAAATTTGAAAATATACCAGTTGTTGACTAATTTTCTACCATTCAATAATAAATAAATTACCATTGGGTAGAGTCACATAGATACTCCGCCAGGTAATAACTTACATAGTTACCGGGTTTCTTAGAGTGTATGTACATACATATTCATCCACCTGCGTTTCTTACAAAAAGAAGATCTTGTTTGATCTAAAATTTTTAAGTTTACAAAGTTGGTTGGGAAAAAGTTTGATTTTTGTCTTAGAAATACAATAGATAAAAAATAATAAGTACAAGTTAAATATTTTGTTCTGAAAAAAATCAAAATTCTAACCTCGTAACTTTGTAAAATTAAAAATTATCTATTTTTATCAGCACTAAGATCTTCAATATAAAGCGCAAGACAATGAACATTTTTCAAAATCGCCATTTCAATAAATGGTAAGTACAAATTTAGTTGGGCAAGTTGAGAAACAAAAATTACAATTCAAAATCCGCAAACAATGGAACGCTAACGTGGTTTGGTTAAATTTGTTTAAAAAAACACTCGGAAATCATGTATTCAAATAAAATCCGGCACTTTTTCCACATTGTGTTTCTAATTTTTGGGAAGAGCTCAAGCGCAGAAGGAAAGAGTGAAGAGTTTTATGCCGAGTTTGCTTTGGCGGAAAGGGTATGAAATATTTTTTTAAGTTTTTTTTATTTATGGTGGAGTAATTTTATTCGGTTTCGCATGTATGTACTCGCAATGGTGGAGTAAAAAAATTTGTAGTAACGGCATTGTAACAAAGTAATTAAGTAATAATTAAACAAGAGTAGTACTACTAATAACTAAATTAAGTAATCATTATTAAGAGTGTGGAATTACACGCTAAATAAAAATAAGTAAATGAAATTTACTCATTGTTGAGTAAAAAAAAGAGGATGACACAACCAAACGGTAAAATTTACCCAACGTTGTGCAAAATTTACACAACTTTGGCCAGATTTTGCCCAACGTTGGGTAAATTTTACCGTTTGGTTGTGTCATCCTCTTTTTTTTTTACTCAACATTGAGTAAATTTTACTCATTTTTATTTAGAGTGAATAATTTTTTTATAGATTGTGGCCTGTCCCCCGTGGGAGGACGGCGTACCCACGTATCATCCGTATCCTTATGATTGCCGTAAGTTTATCGAGTGCACGAATGGATACGCGATTGAGCACAGTTGCCCCCCTTTGACCGTGTGGGATCAGGATTTGCTCACCTGCAATCACGAGGCTTCCACGCCCTGCGTAATTGTGACGACGGAAGGCCCACCGTGAGATTTAAATTTGCATTATAAATTTTACGTGTCATTTCCGACAATAAATTTATTTATGTGTATGTATGTTTCCTTTTAAGGGAATTGACATCTCCGGAAACCGAGGAAACGACTACAATGACACCACCCGTACCAGGGCCAATTGAGGGTGGAGGGATTTATACAATCGTTTATCCACCAGAAGGGGTATGGGTGAGAAATGAGTCGGGTATCGAAAACCCGACCCGGTTAATTTCTGAACCCGACCCGCCTGACACGATCGGGTTAAGGGCGGCTCGGGCTTTTACTGGGCTGATCCGTTAACCGACCCACCTTTCAGGTCTAGCGATTTAAAGACCCGAGCTTGATTAATTTCTTAACCCAACCCGAACTACATAGCCGAACCCGATCGGGTTTTTACCGTTTCGACCCGACTCACCTCTAGTATGCGTGATATATGTATAAATTCCTGAAAATATTATTACTCTTCCACAAATAGATGGCCTTCAGGGTCCGTAAACCTAATATTTTCAACGGAATGAATATCGATGGCATGCCGCATGTTCCAGATTGTTCTGATTTATATCAAGTCTGGAAATTGGAGTATAACTGTAAGTCAGCCAATTAGAAATCATCAACAACCTTTACATGTGAGAATCAGCGGTTATGGAACATTTTTTATTTCAAATTCATGTTAAAAGTTTGTTGAATTCATCATAAATTATCAAATCATGATAAAATCATATTTGTAAAGTTTGCGAAATTAGGTGTAAAATTGATTACGGTTAAATCCGAGCATCGGATTTATGAAAGTTTCAAAATCTCGAAAAATTTAAAACCGGTTTTACGGACCTTTGGCCTAATCCGAGAAATCTAAAACCTGTTTTACGAACGCTTCCCCTAATCCAAAAAATCTAAAACCAGTTTTACATGCCCTATTTTGAACCAGTATACATCTCCCGAGTAAAGTTGACAATCCGTACTTCAAGGGACACCTCGGCACGTTCCCTAGTAAATATTTTCTCTATTCCTACAAAGCTACTACTGGATTCTACATGATTCGCTCCGCCCTTGAGACTGGAAGTAATCAATGGACACTCAGATTATCCGCGATTGCCAACAGGCCAAGAATTTATGTAATCTCTCGTTTAACATGTATGTATTTACATTCGAACTAACGTGGTAATAAATCCTGGTTATAATTTCTTAGCAATACCCGGGCGAACCTTGGGCGAGCTCGATTTGGAAATTGGATGCGGTACCGGGAACCGAGTTGTACACAATTTACCAACCCAATCCCCATCTAGGGGGCAACGTTCGATATACCGGGTGGGGTTGGGTTCAAATAGTTATTGAACCCATACGTGTTCACGGTCATTCAATTATACCGAAATGAATGAATGAATAGTTCAAAATTTCAAAATGAATGAGTGTGTTTTTTAATCATTCATTTTTTGACCTATTAAATACGTGGGGTGAATGAATGAATGAATGAATTATTCATTTAATGAATGAAGAATTAATTCAAATTGAATTTCGAAGTGAAGGAATTTTTAATGAAGGAAAAAATTGAACAAGTACGATTGACCTATTGTCAATAATCTAATAAAGGAACATTTTGTCAAGTTACACCTGGATTACTTATCTTGCGAGTGATATCAATAAAACAAGCCAAAAATGAGGAATCATATGTATGACGCAAGGGGCCCTTTAAAGGAAATTATTGGCGGCAAAGTTCAATTTTTAAGAAATTTTCTCTCGACTGGGCGGAAACTAAGGGGCTCGCTCGTGTGACCTTTGACCCCGATATTTTTCTTGAAAATGGCCATTCAACGGAATGATAAGTGCTCCGTGATTCCTAATTTTTTGCTTGATTTTGTTCTATAACTCGCTAAATAATTCAGGTGTAGCTTGACAAAAGTTTCTATTGTAAGTCTCAAATCTAAAGCTTACATAATTTAATTTATAGAGTGGTCAACGATCTCGGAATAAATCTGGACCTTGTGGCGGCTAACAGTACGGTGTCCGAGCAACGATGGGGATTTGTGAGGTGCCCGGTCTAAAAGGATATATGCAAATAATCGGGAATAAATATGTAACGTGGACACTAATTGACTCATGCCTTAATAATTCTTAAATGTTACAAAAACTGTCCTAATTCCAAAATATTCTGATAAACTATAATTATGATACTTACTTAAGAATAAATTAATTGCATTAATCAAAGTGGAGTTTTACTCGGTTAGAACCGTAATAACGAGAGGCTCAAATGTCTGTATTTGCCGGATTTTTTGCACTTTTCACCTTACACAAATTTGAAGCTTTTGTATTTAAAAATGTACCATGGTATTTTATCGCTTAATACGAAATCTGGCACGAACACAGTTTGCGCTAAAAATTGGTTTTAAGATCTGGAAAATTATGGTTACTTTTCGGCAACAAATTTTAATACCTGACTTAACTAACGTCTTGTATGTACTTTGTGGGGTGACCAGACTACTCATTAATAGAGATAGCCAGGCCAGCGGCGGCGTCTTAACCAACGTCTTACTACACTCTCAGAAATCCAGTATTAAAATAATACCAAGAGGTATCCATATATGACCAGAGTCCCTAACTCAACTGATAATAATACATTGTCCATCATCACGATCCGATAATCCCACCATCCGCATCCAACGTCGACTAAATGTTAAAAATTTAAACACATAAAAATATAAAAACAATTATCATAAAATAGAGTTTAACATTTTGAACCTGAAATTTTTCCAGTTTTTTCAAATTTAAGAAGTCTACCTGATGTAATTTAGGGTATTTTTTGATGCCGTGGTGAGTGCTCTAGCTTGGCCAAACTTATGGACCAGCATCACGCACCACGGCATCAAAAAATAACCTAAATTACATCAGGTATTTACACTTCTTAAATTTGAAAAAAACTGGAAAAATTTCAGGTTCAAAATCTTAAACTTTATTTTAGGATAATTGTTTTTATATTTTTATGTGTTTAAATTTTTAACATTTCGTCGACGTTGGATGCGGATGGTGGGATTATCGGATCGTGATGATGGACAATGTATTATTATCAGTTGAGTTAGGGACTCTGTATATGACTATACCAAAGCAGAGGTCGACGCCGACAAATTTTCGGCGGTGGCAGTTTTTTGTGATCTTTCGGCGGCATGGGCGGCGCGGCGTGGCGTTGCAATCTTAAAGGAATAGAAAAACAAATTTTTCGGCGGCGGCGGCTCGTAAAATACTACCGGCGTTCGGCAGCGTGGCGGCGTGCGATCGGAGGCGTCGACCTCTATACCAAAATGGTATCGACCGATACAATTTGATATTTATGTACTACACTGTTAGAAATCCGGTGTAGTCACGCAGGTATTGATTTCTCGGTATTAACGTTGCTGCTGCCTGGTATTAAAATTGTCCCGGTATGTAAAAATTTGACACCAATGTTGTAAAAATGTAATACCGAGTTATTGCTACACGGTGTTATTTATGTATAAATGCCATATTGGTTGAGTCATATATGAATATTGCTTGGTACTATTTTAATATACTGTATTGTAAGCGATGGCAACTTTAGTATCGACAAATAAGCTCCCTGCGTGATCATGTAAGATTTCTAACAGTGCATATTTGAATATCACAATAGTTGTAAAAGAAAGAAGCCTATTTAGTAAATTAAAGCAACCCGGTTTTATAATACATATTTACCTACATACATACATAAATATGTAATTGACACAAAAGCACTCAGCGGCTCTAGAAATAATTAGTTAGCAATGAAAAATGCATGTGGGCTACTTATCACTTGTATAGGTGAGGATGACGAACTATTAAATTATTCAATAACTGATCGGGGACATTTATTTCTCGTACGTACAGCAAAACGATTTTCTTGGAACAGTTGAAGCCAGAACTTTAATTTTTGGTGACTACGGAACTTCTCGAAGATGGAAATATTTCGAATCCTAATATTTAAAAGTGCGTACACATATTTACATATTTCAAGACCGCAGTCATTACATTTAAGAGAATTCAAACTGTATATTCTTCAGGTGAAACTAATAATAACCATGTAATGCGTTCAGCTACGTCCTTTGAAATTAGGATTTTGAATCCTTTGCTCGCAGGAGTCAACACAGGAGTTTTTCTATTGTTGTGACGAGTTACGTGAATCTATTTATTGGCGCCTATTAAAAATAGAGCTCAGTGACATCTGTAATGTCGCATGTTGATATTATAAAAAGGATACTAGACCCGTAGGTACAGGACGCGAAGAAGTGATGAAGTAAATTATTTGCAAAGATGTCAATAGCAAAGCAACTAACAAAAATCAATTTTATTGTTTGTAGATAACTACCTCTAAGCGCCTCGAAACACATGTATCTATACTACTTCTTAACAAAATAAAATGTGGCCAGATTGAGTGAAAATGGAGAGGTGTCCAGCTTCAATAATGCCCTTTCTCAACAGAGGTTGTTTTCTACTGGGGACAATATTCTCACTGCTACCGTACAGTGAATGTAACTGTCTTTGGAAGGGCTTATTTCACGATTCAGATCTTACATTCATATTCACTCCTAACATGTACAAGATATTAGACGTAGATGGTGATTCCCCTTATTTTCAAGACGTCAGATCCAATAATGCGTACACACCGATTCGCCATCTCGTTCTTCATCAAAGGGAAATGATCATGCCCGTCCCCTTAGAAATAAATTTCATAAATAAGTTTAAACATCGTCCCACGGAGAAATTATCGCGACCTAAAGTTGCCTTCGCTCCGTTGCATGGCACTATGGAATTTATTACTGCACAGGGTCTTCTACAGTGTGAATATATATTCCATATTTCTCACTTGGTATTTAGACAAGAATACTTTTCTGGTCACATTAATTCTCCTCGGAGCAAGGAATGTCTTCACCGCCACGCTGATTGGTTGGGCACTCTTAAGCTGGTCTTGTTCAAGGAAACCTTGCCCGTGCGCCTCCTAATTCCATGCTTGACCTGTAATCCGAAAATATTCTCAGCACCAAGGACCTTCTCATTACTAGGCATCAGGCGGACTTGGGACACTCAGAATAGGGACATGCACAAATACCTTGTCCTTGTTCATACATCAGTTCAAGCAAAGTGTGGCTTACTCTATAAAGGATTGGCGAATCTCACATTTTCTGACTTCTGCCTAGTAGCAGCAATTGCGGAAAAGTATAACTTAGCAGTATTAGAATACAGTACAGGCCGACATTTTCCCTTCGAAGGAAATTTTGGTTTTGCTTTGGCCGCACTATTTGACGAGTTTCGGGTATACCATTTCGTTTACCAAGTTGAATTTATATCCATAAATTTCATGACTGTAACCAATCCACCATCTCCTGCGGGCGGAGTATCCACGTTTGTTTCCCCGTTGGATTTGGAGACTTGGTCTTGCCTCATAATTAGCATTTTATCAGCTGCGGGAATTTTGACCCTGATTCAATGGAATGGGGATGTGAAAATCTGGACTTCCCTCGTTGCTACGATGGCCGGGAAGGTGATCACTGTAAGCTGCATATATCTAGGGCAGGTTGGCGAGAGTTCGGGTAGGGCATATCGTGAAGGAAAGGCGGTCTGGATAATGGTCACCTTGTGGTTATTTGGGAATATGATCCTCATGGGAAATTTTTATCAGGGTTCGATATTCTCATGCCTCACGGTTTTACTCCCATCTCAGACTCCGGAAGGAATAAATGACCTTGTTAACTGGGATATTCCACTGGTATCAATAGATTTAGCTGGTGATAAGGACTCCCCGCTAAGCCTTTTGCTGCATTATGTTATTCCCAAATTACAAAGAATCTATGGTGGCGGTAAAAATCTAAAATTTCAGAAGTTCTTAACCAAATTTCAAGCCAAAGTATTACTAATCCAAAACCAGTCTGTGTGGCATATGACGAACAAAATTATGACAGAAAATTCTACACGTAGGCACCCAACGATTGCATTATTTATGTTAGAGAACGACTTGCAGCACAAGGTAAGATCGGCTAAACTTCAGGGAACTCGTCACATTGTCCGAAATAAGGGAGACACGCCGTTCGGAGTTAGAGTGTTGCATGGCGGGAATTACAATATGCTGGCACCTTATTTTGCCAAGGAAAAGGAACGCTTGCATGAATTCGGTTTGAACCAGATGTGGCGGAAAGTATATGAAATAGCTGTCGCGTTTCGAGGGGCTGATCAAGCTAATAACTATTTTAAGCTGGTGCAGTTCATTTTGGGTAATCTGAGAGAACCTGTAACATTCCATGAGTCACAACTTGTATCAATGGCTCTAATCCTTCCTGTTTTCACTCTATGCGGAGTCCTTATGACGATATCGATTGTTGGATTCATGGCTGAAGATACGAAACTCGTGTGGAAAGTGGGGAAAGTTATCGTCTTGGGAATTATTAATGTTTTTATTAAAATTGGTAGAATCCGTAAAATATTTGGGGCAAGCGGGTTTGCGTCAAGCAGTTACAGGATCAGTGGGGACGGTTAAAATTGTAGGACATACTGAGCAAATTATGTGAAAGCGTTTGATCCACTCTGCTACACTATATTCGACCTCATTCTTACAACTAATTTTTTAGTCAAATTTATTATCAGTACATGTTCATTGCATAATTACAGTTTTTGCGAAAAATAGGAAAAATGCACTTTTTAACATTGGTCGGTATACGGAAAATTCCAAAATTTTAGAAGGAAAATATCGAGAAAAAAAGTCACTTTTTACCATCGAGTTTTCCACAAAATACCTACCAATGAAATATTTTATATTTTTTTTAAATTTCGGCGTCAAGCAACTTACATAATTTATTTATGTATCGTTTATCGTGACGGCGTAGTAATGTGGTGGTAATGAAATCTTTACCACTCAGGATAAAGCTATAACCAATCCGGTAAGGCATTATTACCAAATCGATACCAGTATCAGCGGCGTAGCCAAGGGGGGGGCTAGGGGGGCTTGAGCCCCCCCCCCCCAGCAGAGCCCGAGAAATTAAAAAAAAATACGCTAAATACTGCAAAAAATAAGAATTAAGTTACGAATGGAGTTCCATGTTAAATACATTAAGGGTATTCGTTATTCCTTCAATCTAATCTTCATATCCTTACAATGCAAGTCTTTAACGTGTATA